TCAGGCAATCCACTCACCTCAGCCTCCCAAAGTGCTGGGATTATAGGCTGAGCCACCGAGCCCCGCTGCAGGGGCTTTTCATAAGCAAGATCCTACTACCGATCTGCATGGGCGTTTGACCCTTATTTTCTTTTCTGATTTGGGCTGGTTCACTTCTCCTTAGGCAACCTGGTGTTCCCCTGTTTCTGAGAGGTCACTATATTGATGCTGAACTTAGTGTGGACACCCAATTAGCATAATATACTACAGTCCAAAATTCTTGGGCTCAAGTGACCCTCTTCCTGCCTTAGCCTCCCGACTAGGTGGGAATATAAGTGTGTGCCACTCCAACAAGCAGACTAGTCTTAACTAATGTGAGACTTCTAAGTCCACCAATGGATTGCAACATTTTTGGAATCTTTACCTTCTCAAATTCTGCATCTATCTGGGATAGAAGGGCCGGCTTCTCATCCTCAAAGAACATTCGCAAAGAGGGACCAACATACAGATACATCACGCCAAGCAGGGTGATGGCAGCTGTCCTTACAGCCTGCCAAACAGAACAAAAAGAAATTTCCAAGTTGGAACAGAACCACAAAGATGGCAGTAATGCTCCTATATATGCTGGTGTGTACTTACTGGGTTTGTTGCAGCAAGAGCCGTCTTCACATTGCTAATGAAAGCTTTGACATTCAACCTAGAGAAACATTTAGAATTAAAAACAAATGAAACTCTCAAAATATTCAACAGAGTTTTATAATGCTAGATTCTAGGACTGGTTCCCTTTACAGGAGTTTTCACCGTTCTCTTTTTATACCTAACTTTAAAGTGAGGTTTAAATACTGCCTATATACTGATGATACTTAATTAAGACTCCTAAATCTTATTAACTCTCCCGAACTCCAGATTCATATATACAATGGCCTTTCTGACATTTCCATTTTGTTTGTTTAGTAGACATGCTATATCTGTCAGAACCAAACTCCTAACTGTCCTTACCTCAGCCCTAAAACCACTTCCCCGACAGTCCTCTTCCCCTCAGTAAACACCACATTTTTCAGTTGCTCAGGCTATCTGTGACTCTTCAGAGTTATTCCTGACTCATCTCTCTTGTACCCAATATGCTATTCAGTTTTACTTTTAAAATATATTCTGGGTAGTATGAAGCCATCACCATTAATAAGACATTTTGAAATAAAGTTTGCTTCATCTTTAAAAAAAAAAAAAAAAAAAATATATATATATATATATATATTCTGGCCAGGCTTGGTGGCTCAGCCTGTAATCCCAGCACTTTGGGAGGCTGAGGCGAGTGGATTCCCTGAGCTCGTGGGTTCCAGACCAGCCAGGGCAACTTGGCGAGACCTCATTTCTACAATAAATAAAACATTAGTTGGACATGGTAGCACATGCCTATGGTTCTGGCTACCAGGAAGGCTGAGACAGAAGGATTGCTGGAGCCCAGCTGGTCAATGCTGGGGTGGCCATCAGCATGCCACCACACTCCAGTCTGGGTGACAGAGTAAGACTCTAACCCAAAAAATAAATAAATAAATATATTCTCAGAGTCATAACACTTCCACCTCTACAATCTATGTCCAAGACTCTATAATTCTTGACAGGATTATTCTAATACTTACTAATTAATTAGTCTCCTTGTCCTTATCTTTGATCCCTAGTATCTGTTCTGACTAGTCAGAATGATCCTGCTACTTTTCTCAAAAATCTCCTTCCGATGGTTTCCCAACCTACTCAAAATGTTGAGGTCCTACATGGCCTGGCCTCATTCTTTCTCCGATCTTCTCTCCTACCATTTACTATCCACTCACTCATTTTATTCCAGCTACATTCTAAAGAGCATGTACTCCTTGCTGTTTTTAACTACACCACACGTGCTCCTATCACAGGGGATTTATACTTGCTATTCCCTTAGTACAGAGTACTTTTCCTCCAGATTATCACAGCTTATTCCCTAAAGTCCTAGTCTCGCCTCAAATGTCATTTTTTTCAGGAAGAATTCTTGAATCCTATAGGAAACACCACCATCTAAGTTGATGTCACCTAATTCCCTTATCCTACCTTAATTTTATTCCATTGTTCTTATACCACCTACTATATTTTTTAACTATTTCTTGTCTGTTTCCTCTTACTTAAATATAAGCTTCATGAAATCAGAAATTTAATTTTGCCTATGATATATTCCCAGGGCAGGGAACAAATCATTGGAACACTGGAGTGGTCAACATGTAGTTTTTTAATAAATGAAAGATCATAATAATAAAGAGGAAAATATTCATTTGGTTTTTATAAGACATGCCAAAAGATTAGTTTTACAACAAAGACTATATAATTTTTTTTTCTTTATCATTTCTTCCAAGAAAAGACATAATTAAGAAGGAATCATAACAATACTCTCAACTAGAAAGGCTATTACAGATGATGACATAACAAACATTACTCTGCTTGAATGATAACTTCTTAGCTTTTCTTCAAGCAGCAAAACTCAAAACACCATTTTGCAAGATATTAAGAGGCATGTAGTAAAAGGTAGCAAGGCAAAGAGAAAGGCAACAAAGTATATCAAGTTATAGCATTTTCTCTTTGAGCCAGAATCCTTGGATCCAAACCTTGGCTTTGTCACTTTCCTAACTATTATCTGGGTAAATTACTTAAGTTTTTTTTTTTTTTTTTTGAGTTGGAGTCTCACTCCGTCGTCCAGGCTGGAGTACAGTGGCATACATGCTCACAGCCACCCCAGCATCGACCCGCTGGGCTCCGGCAATCCTTCTGCTTCAGCTTTCCAAGTAGCCAGAACTACAGGCCTGTGCTACCATGCCCGGTTAATTTTTTGATTTTTTTTTGTAGAGACGAGGTCTCGTCAAGTTGCCTGGGCTGGTCTTGAACCCATAGGCTCAGGCAATCTACTCGCCTTGGCCTTCGGCCACTTAAGTTTTCTATGCCTTAGTTGTCCTCATCTATAAAACAGGGATAACATAATACCTCATGTGGATTTTAGGATGATCAAATCAAATGAATTATTATTTAGAAAGTTCTTTTAACAAGTGCCTGGAATAAAGTAAGCTATATAAAATTTTGCTTAATAAACAACTGTGTTCTATATACAAAGAAGTTTGGAAAACTGTGTTAAACAAAGCTAAATAAACTCTTCAACTGCAGGACTTCTGAGAGCACTGAATTCGTCAAAGTGCTGTAGGTCTTCAAGCAAATATAATTATATGTAGAAATTTCCAAATGTATTTGGACTAGAAATCCTTAAAACTGGCTTTTCTGTGGAACAGCTATTAATACTTGGGGAAAACAACTTAGAGAACTCTTTTAGTACATAGAGAAATGTAGGAATATAAGCCAACCCAGTTCTAAGCTTGAGAGAAATAAGAAGAGATAGCTACAACAAATTTAATCACCAATTAAAGACTGGCAAAACATTTAATTATTTTCCACTTAATTTCTGACTTACCCAGAAAAACCAAATTCTTTTATAGCATTTGATAGCCAATTCAGAGTTTCTGATTGATTCTTGGGATTCTTCTGTGAGAAAGCCATTGATACAACCTGGAGAGAAGAGGTGGGAAAAAAAGAGATGTCTCTTTTATATTTCTTATAGAAACACAGCAAGACGTTAAGGCAGACATGGTTTAAACATGGTTTTCCTTGCTAAGACAATTGCAGGAATGTCTTAAAACATGGTTTTCCTTGCTAAGACAATTGCAGGAATGTCTTAGGAGCAAAAGAGTTAAACCTACACAAAAAAAATGAGGTAAGTGACAGTAGTAATAAAAGTATTCTGGACTATTTATAGCTTTCCACTAGTGATCACTCTGGATTATAATGTCTTAAGAGAAAATTACTCTTGACTTCTGGAGAATATTCTTGACTAAGATAACTTTTCATTATTAGGCATTATTAAAAGGTAAAAATAAAAATGCAGTATCAAAAATGGTTTTACTTGAGAGAAAAAGAACCAATGTTTAATGAGAAAGCTTAAAGTTTGGGGAAAAAACTGGGAAAACATGGGGAACGAGAGTTCTGTGTCACTAACCTGTTCTGCTGTCCATGGTAACATACAAGCTTCGGCTATTGCTGTCATAGCTTCTTTTGCGTTGTTTCCACATTTCACATCTCCAATCTTGTCCACAAGGGCATCTAATACAATCTGAGCTGAAGTTTTAGAAAAGTTTCCCTTCTGAGCAATCAAAGCAACTATATGAAGCTTCATTTGCATCACCTGAATAAGGATAAGTATCATAAAATTATGAGTGAGTCGAAGACATTTATTTATTTACTTATAATAACAGCAGCCTGAAGATGTAACAGTTAGAAGAACCAAAGTAAAATCAGTATTTTTTTTAGTCAGGTTCTCATTCTGTCACCCAGGCTGTAAGGCAGTGTCACAATCACAGTTCACTGCACTTTTAACTTTCTGGGCTCAGGTGATCCTTCCACCTCAGCCTCCTGAGTAGCTGAAATTATAGGTGTGTACCACCATGCCCTGCTTGTTTCTTCTTTTTAGATGTGAGGTCTTGCTATGTTGCCCAGGCTGGTCTTGAACTCCTGGGCTCAAGCAACCCTCTTGCCTCAGTCTCCCAAAGTGCTGGGATTACATGCGTGAGCCACACAGTGCCCAGCTTAACAGAATTTTAAACAGGTGGAAACTAGTCAAAATTAACATTAAGGGATATATTGATTAACTAAATAGATGTCACATTAGGATCAACTGTAGGTAGTGAAGATGCTAAAGGGAGAGAAGTGACTCAAAAGTTGGAAATGTCTCAAAGAAGGGCACACAGTCTGGGGATTAGGTGTGATGACAATGGTGAGGTGTTGTTTCAATGTTTCCCTTGGATGGCTACCTGTGTTGCCTTGGGAACTGGAGGGCGGAAGTGGATGAGTGTCAGGATGTCTGGATGTGGGTGATAGAAAGGGAGAGGGCTACATATATGAGGGGGAACCCCCCAAAAC